TGCGCCTGTAGTTCCAGCTACTTGGAAGGCTGAGGTGGAAGGATCGCCAGAGCCCAGCAGGTCAAGGCTGCGATGGCCGAGAGCGGCCACTGCACTCCAGCTGGGTGGCAGAGTGAGACTCCAAATAAAAAAAAAATTTGTTTTAATTGTATTGTAGAGATGAGGTCTTGCCAAGTTGCCTGGGCTAGTCGCGAACCTGCGGGCTCAGGCAATCCACTCGCCTCGGCCTCCCAAAGTGCTGGGGTTACATGCTGAGTCATCGAGCTCTGCCTGTCGATGATATTTAAAGCCAGGGGACCGGAGTGGTAACCATGTGAAGAAAAGAGTTGCTGGAATTTTGAAGCAGGTGCACAGGCTGCTTAGGAAGCATATATAGTCCTGTGTCTACCTGTTTAGATGAGATCAGAATGAAGACCAAGCTGAGGCTGAGCACAAGGACAGCGTACTTGATGTACTCTAGGATGGGCATGTATGTCAGACCTAGATCTGCAAAATTATAGTACTCTTACCCTCTGTGCAAGTCCAAAAATTTTAACAATCAGCTATTGTTATCCATCACTAGCTGGCTCAGGAGGTAAGGATGCCCTTGTGGAGAGGCTGGTCTAGAAAAGAAGAATAGGGAGTCAGGGTTGTTGAGGCCTGCTCACCTGCTTTTTTGCCAGTCATGGGCAGAGAGGATCCCCATAGAGTCTGAGCAGCTGATTTGGTAGGCTCAACCAAGGAAGAACTACTCAAGGAAGAAGCTTGAGGTCTCGCCGGGCTTGGTGGCTCAGTCTATAATCCCGTGCCTTTGGGAGGCTGAGGTGAGTGGACTGCCTGAGCCCGCGGGTTTGAGACCCGCCTGGGCAACTTGGCAAGACGTCTCTACAATAAATCAAAAAATTAGCTGGGCGTGGTAGCGTGCGTCTGCAGTTTCAGCTACTTGGAAGGCTGAGGCGGAAGGATCGCCGGAGCCCAGCAGGTTGAGGCTGCGGTGGCCGGGAGCGGCCACTGCAATCTGACAGAATGAGACTCCAACTCAAAAAAAAAAAAAAAAAAGCGTGGATAGAACTGAGGGAACAGACAGGGGTTTCTCAGTTCTGAATGCCCCTCTGTGTAGGGGGTAGTGGTGGCGGGGGCGGGGTGATGTAGGCTCTGATTTTGGCTGCTTCATCTCCAACCTTGGAGTAGAGTGGGTACTCAATAAACGTTTGGTGAATGAATGAGTGCATGAATATTTGGAATGCTTGAAGGTGCAAGATGCTTAGAGTTGGCTATCCCGAATTTGAATCATGGCCCTAAGTGACCCAGGATGACCTCAACCCTCTGAACCTGCAAACTCATTTGTCAATGGGAATAACCATATAGCCTGCCTCATGGGGTTGAGGTATGGATTAAATGAGAACAGGGGTTACTATGCTTACTGTGTGAAAGCAGTCTTTAAATATTTACTAAAAGAACACACTCTGTTAAAGCGCTTTAGTTATGTCAGCTTTCACTAAATTTTTTTTTTTATTTTTGAGTTGGAGTCTCACTCTGTCGTCCAGACTGGAGTGCAGTGGTATGCTCCTGGCCACCGCAGCCTCGACCTGCTGGGTTCTGGCGATCCTTTCGCCTCAACCTTCCAAGTAGCTGGAAATACAGGCACGCACTACCACGCCCGGCTAGTTTTTTTGATTTATTGTAGAGATGAGGTCTCGCCAAGTTGCCCAGGCAGGTCTCGAACCCGTGGGCTCAGGCAATCCACTCACCTCGGCCTCCCAAAGCGCGGGATTACAGGCTGAGCCACAGAGCCCGGGCAATTTTTTTTTTTTTTTTTTTTTTTTTGAGTCGGAGTCTCATTCTGTTACCCAGGCTGGAGTGCAGTGGCACGCTCACAGCGACCACAGCCTCGACCTGCTGGGCTCCGGCGATCCTTCCACCTCAGCCTTCCGAGAAGCTGGAACCACAGGCAGTGTCACCACGCCCGGCTCATTGTTTGATTTATTGTAGAGATGAGGTCTCGCCAAGTTGCCGGGGTTGGTCTCGAACCCTTGGGCTCAGGCAGTCCTCTTGCCTCCACCTTCCAAAGTGCTGGGATTACAGGCGTGAGCCACCGCGCCCGGCCTCACTAAATATTTAATTCCGTTAAAAGTATCTACTAAGGGTCTATTACGGTTTGTTGATTTATGGGGGTCGGTGATCTGACGGCGAGCGGGCAAGGTGAAAGGGCGGGACTTAATGTTTCCGGCCTGCGACAGCGAGGCCCAATAAGACCCGTTGAGGAGGCGGAGCCCCGCCCCCGTCGCCGCTGCAGTCCCGGAAGTGGGGTTGGGACGGTTGCGTATATTTCCGGTGTAGGCGCCAGGACTGGTGTAGGTGTGGACGCTGAGGTTCTGCCTCTGAGGGGAAGATGTTCTACCACGTGAGGAGGGCTCGGGCGGCAGCAAGGGCCGGGTGGAAAGGAGGAGCGAGGCCGGGGGCCGGGCTGAGGCGTGCGCCTGGCCTGGTCTTCATCTCACTTTTCCTCGCAGATCTCCCTGGAGCACGAGATCCTGCTGCACCCGCGCTACTTCGGTCCCAACTTGCTCAACACGGTGAAGCAGAAACTCTTCACCGAGGTGGAGGGAACCTGCACGGGGAAGTGAGTGTCGCGCCCTCCGCGTGCAGCCTGATGGGTGCGCACCCCTCTCCCACGTTTATTCATCCCGCGAGGTCCTGCCTCCCACCCTAGGGAGACCTTTCACCCAGGCACCCCGGGCAGCCAGTTGCTTCTTGCTTTGGGCGCCCACGGCGCCCTTTGCAAAGCTGGAGAGTAAGACTTTCTACCCTCAGTTAGGATTGGTCATTCATTTGCTCCCAAATATTTTGTAAAACTCTGCTATGTGCCAGGACCTGTGCTGGGCTCTGGAAACATGCAGTGAGCAAGATAGGATGAGGACAGATCTCATGGAGCTCACAGTTTAGTCATTGTTCCTGTGCCTGTTTTCCCCTTTGTGACTCTCCTGGTTTTCTCTATCCCCTGTGCCCAGGGACCTCACGCATCATGGGCTTCATGAAACCAGATTGAGAGTTTGGGAGGAAGGAAGAAGGCTGGGACTTGACCATCACTGAGCTTTGCACAGAGGGGGACCTCTCACAGGGTGATATTAACGGGCTCAGCCCGGGGTTGTGGAGTACTTGGGTCTCCGGCATCAGAATAACCTGGGTCAGTTCTTGGAACACACAAGTTCCTGAGCCTCATTATTTCCTATAGAATCAAGACTCTCTGGGAGCAGACCTGAGAATCTGCATTTTTATTATTTTTTGAATCAGAGTCTCACTCTTGTCGCCCAGGTTGGAGTGCAGTGGCACACACACAGCAACCACATCCTCCACCTGCTGGGTTCAGGCGATCCTTCCACTTCAGCCCACTTCAGCCTTCCAAGTAGCTGGAACCACAGGCGATGCCACCACGCCCGGCTCATTTTTTGATTTATTGTGGAGATGTCATGCCAGGTTGCCCGGCCTGGTCTCGAACCTGTGGGCTCAGCCAGTCCTCTCACCTTGGTCTCCCAAATTACTGGGATTACAGGGAGCCCAAGAGAATCTGCCTTTTTTTTTTTGAGTTGGAGTTTCACTCTGTCGCCCAGACTGGAGTGCAGTGGCCGCCGCAGCCTCGACCCACTAGGCTCCGGCTATCCTTCCTCCTCAGCCTTCCAAGTAGCTGGAACTACAGGTGCGCGCTACCACACCCGGCTAATTTTTGATTTATTGTAGAGATGAGGTCTTGCCAAGTTGCCCAGGCGGGTCTCAAACCCACGGGCTCAGGCAGTTCATTCACCTTGGCCTCCCAAAGGCGCAGGATTACAGACTGAGCCACCAAGCCCGGCCTTTTAATAAGGTGATTTGGAGGCATTCCAAAGATTGAGCTCTGTTGGCTCAAGAACTGCGGTGTTTTTAGATATTTATCATGATATTACTAGAGTAGTATTTGGCCTTATAAATATTGATCTAGGCCAGGCACAGTGGCTCATGTCTATAATCCCAGCTCTTTGGGAGGACAAGGCAAGAGGATTGCCTAAGCCCAGGAATTTGAGACCAGCTTAGGTAACATAACAAGACCCTGTCTTTACAAAAGATAAAAAATTAGCCAGGCATGATGATGTATACCTGTAGTCCCAGCTACATGGGAGGCTGAGGCGAAAGGATCACCTGAGCCCAGGACATTGATCATGCTGCTGCACTCCAGCCTGGGTCACAGAGTGAGAATCTGACTCAAAAAAAAAGAAAGATACTGATCTGTGTCCTGTCTTTTCTCTTGGTCACTAAGATCTCTGGGTCAGAGGTACCATCTACTATTCCTTTTGCTCCCCTGCCCCCAAGGCTCAGTGTCTTGTGGCAAATGGCTTTAGAACCTCTTCCGTACACAGTGCTTTTCTCTTTCTCATCCTCTTCGCAGGTACGGCTTTGTAATTGCTGTCACCACCATTGACAATATTGGTGCTGGTGTGATCCAGCCTGGCCGAGGCTTTGTCCTTTATCCAGTTAAATACAAGGCCATTGTGTTCCGGCCTTTTAAAGGGGAGGTCGTGGATGCCATTGTCACTCAGGTCAACAAGGTAAGACCATACTCAGGGGATGCAGTGGGTTGGTCCTGAGTCTACTTGATAACTTTGTGCCTTCGGATAAGTCATTTCACCTCTTGTGCTTTACTTTCTAGACCTGTCAAATTATATGGTAATCTTGTCCTGCCTAACTCGGGGGAAGGGAATCAATCCTATTATTATTATTATTTAATACTGAAGCCCAGTGTGATGGCTCATGCCTGTAATCCCAACACTCTCACTCAGGCGAGAGGATTGCCTGAGTCCAGGGGTTTGAGACCAGCCTGGGCAATGTGGCAAGATCTTGTCTCTACAATAAATGAAAAAAATTAGCCAGGTGTGGTGGCTCGTACTTGTGGTTCCAGCTATTTGGAAGGCTGAGGCGGAAGGATTGCCTGAGTGCCTGAGCCCAGGAGGTCGAGGCTGTGGTGGCCATGGGTGTACCACTGCACTCCAAGTAGCTGGAACCACAGGCATGTGCTGCAATGTCAGGCTGATTTTTTGATTTATTGTAAAGATGAGGTCTCGCCATGTTGCTCAGACTGGTCTCAACCCCTGAGCTCAAGTAATCTTCTTTTGTTTTTGTTTTTTTTGGAGTTGGAGTCTCACTCTGTCACCCAGACTGGAGTGCAGTGGCCGTTCCTGGCCACCGCAGCCTCGACCTGCTGGGCTCTGGCGATCCTTCTGCCTCAGCCTTCCAAGTAACTGGAACTACAGGTGCACGCTACCATGCCCGGCTAATTTTTTTTTGATTTATTGTAGAGATGAAGTCTCAACAAGTTGCCCAGGCGGGTATCGAACCCGCGGGCTCAGGCAATCCACTCACCTCAGCCTCAGGTAATCTTCTAATCTCTGCCTCCCAAAGTGCTGGGATTACATTAGCCACTGGGCAAGGCTCATGTTCACCAAAAACAGCATGACCCTTGTGCCCCACCCTCTGTGCCCCACCCTATTCGCCCAATCTCATCACAAGCTACATTTCTTTGGTTTCACAATGAAAAAGTCCTCAAAGGGAAACCTTTTACCAGTGTGGAAGAGGTGAAACAAAAAATGGCAGAAGCACTAAAAGGCATCGGAATTTATGAGCTCAAAACTTTTGAGCAGTGGAAAAAAGCATCTTGATAAGTGTATTGCATTAAACAGAGAGTATTTTGAAGGTGACTGAAATTTAAACATATAAGAATAAGCTGGGCATGGTGGCTCATGCCTGTAATCCAGCACTTTGGGAGGTGGTGCCTGAGTCCGGGGATTCAAGACCAGCCTGGCCAACTTGGCGAGACCTTGTCTCTACACTAAGTCAAAAACTTAGCTGAGTGTGGTGGTATGCACCTGTAGTTCCAGCTACTATGAAGGCTTAGGCAGAAGGATGGCCTGAGCCCAGCAAGTCGAGGCTGCGGTGGCCATGAGCCTGCCATTGAACTCCAGCCTGGGTGACAGAGTGAGACTCCAATTAAAAATAAATAAATAAAAGGAAAGGTTAAAAATAGAGAAATGAAAACAAATGATACAATTCAGACTCATTTCAAAACAGGAATAATATTAGGAATCAGATAAAGATGGAGGGACTTAAAAGACCTCAGGGGACAAGGTTAGGTACAGTGGCTCATGCCTGTAATGCCAGCACTTTTGGAGGCAGAGGCAGGAGGATCGTTTGAGGCCAGGAGTTTGAGATCATCCTAGGCCACATAGTGAAACTCCATCTCTACAAAAATAAAAAAAATTAGCTGGTTGTAGTGGGTGGGCCTATAATGCTGGCTACATGGGAGGCTGAGGTGGAAGGATTGTTTGAGCCCAGAAGGTTGAGGCTACAGTTGCACCACTAACCACTGCACTCCAGCCTGGCAACAGAGTAAGACCCTGTCTCAAAAAAAAGACCAGGGACAAAAGAAAAGGAAAGATCACTCTACTAATTTTTCTTCTAGGTTGGACTCTTCACAGAAATTGGGCCTATGTCTTGCTTCATCTCTCGACATGTAAGTCTAGGCAAGGTGGGAGGGGCTAAGGAAGAGAAGCACCCATTCATGACCATTCAGTTAAAGTGCTGACCCAAGCCGGGCTCGGTGGCTCAGCCTGTAATCCCAGCACTTTGGGAGGCCAAGGTGAGTGGATTGCCTGAAGCCTGCGGGTTCGAGACCCCCTGGGCAACTTGGCGAGACCTCATCTCTACAATAAATCAAAACTTAGCTGGGCATGGTAGTACAAGCCTGTAGTTCCAGTGGAAGGATCACTGGAGCACAGCAGGTTGAGGCTGCAGTAGGTGACAGTGAGACTCCAACTCAAAAAAATAAATAAATAAAGTGCTGACCCATTCTCACTTTACTTTCAGTCTATTCCATCAGAGATGGAGTTTGATCCTAACTCCAACCCACCATGTTACAAGACAATGGATGAGGTGAGTGGGCAAGAAGTCAGTGAGAGGGAAGAGAGAGAATTAGCAACTCTGAGGCAGAATATTGACTTGGGGGTGTCTGAGTAGAGATGGTCTCCAACTTATAATGGTTCAACTTTTTGATGGTGCAAAAGCCATAATGCATTCAGTTCGCTATGGATCCACCATGAGTTATGGTGACTTAAACCTGTTGTAAGTCGAAGGAGCATCTGTTTACTGTTCCCTGCTCTCCCCAGGACATTGTGATTCAGCAGGACGATGAGATCCGCTTAAAGATTGTGGGGACCCGTGTGGACAAGAATGACATTGTGAGTCTTTTGTCTGCTTCTCTGCCTATACCAGGCAGAACTGAGAGCTGAAGATTTCTTCCCACCCACAGTTTCAGGGAGTTCTCTGCTCTTCTGCCAGGAAGAAAGGAAGGGTGGACAAAGGCCTGGGACTAGGGGGTGAAGGATGGTTCTGTGCTCATCTTGGCTTCATTTCCTTTTTACCTTCCCTCCTGCAGTTTGCTATTGGCTCCCTGATGGATGATTACTTGGGTGAGTGCCTGATCATATGCCTGGAGAAGGGGTGTGGATTGGTGGGGAGTACATAGAGGATTTAATGCCTTAGTCAAAGACTTAACCTTTCACGTTGCCTGCTTGGATGATCCAGGGCTTGTACACTTGGGATGGGAAGTACACAGTTGTGGCTGCTCCCAAACTCTGGGTCTAACTGATACACCCTTCCTGTTTTTGCAGGGCTTGTAAGCTGAGTATAGGAGCCTCCTACCTTTGGTTCTGACCTAGGAAGTATGACTGTCACTTACCGTGTTGTCTCAAGGCCCAGTCTGGCTGCTGTTGGGAAGGCAGGAATGGTACTTTGTCCCCTGAAGATATCTGGTGCTTCATTTGGCTTAGCTGCCGCTTCCAAATTTTTTACTGTGCTCTAACCATAAAGAGTTCTTGGTTTTCTTGGCAGTGTTATCTTTTCTGGGCATAAATAACAACTCTTTTTAAGAAGGCTGTGGGGTCAGTTGCTCACTGGCCTCTTTTTCCCTTAGACTGATGCCTTGACTAGCCTCAGCCACCTAGGGGATCTGACTAACTTAATCTGCCAATGTTTACAGTTGACATCATGGAAGTCAAGACTCTGATGTTGCATCTTTGGCTTCTAGTAAATGATACCATCTTTAGAGCCATACTGAATCCTAATCTACTTCCAGGGTGTTTGCCGTTTTCCTGCCCTTAAAAATAACCAAGAGGCTGAGCTTGGTGGCTCGGTGTAATCCCAACACTTGGGAAGCCGAGGCAAGTGGATTGTCTGAGCCTGCAGGTTCAAGATCAGCCTGAGCAACTCTCTACAATAAATAAATAAATAAATGAATAAAAACTTAGGTGTGGTAGCACATACCTGTAGTTTCAGTTACTTGGAAGGCTGAAGTGGATGGATTGCTGGAGCTCAGCAGGTTGACACTGGGGTGGCTGTGAGCATGCCACTGCACTCCATCCTGGGCAATGGAGTGAGATGCCAATTCCAAAAAATTAAAAGATAACCAAGAACCAGGCTTGGTGGCTCAGCCTGTAATCCTGCATCTTGGGAGGCTGAGGTGACTGGATTGCCTGAGCCCAAGGGTTTGAGACCCACCCGGGCAACTTGGCAAGACCTTGTCTCTACAATAAATTTTTAAAAAATTAGCCGGGCGTGGTAGCGCGCGCTTGTAGTTCAGCTACTTGGAAGGCGGAAGGATCACCGGAGCCCAGCAGGTCGAGGCTGCGGTGGCCGGGACTGTGCCACTGCACTCCAGTCTGGGCGACAGAGTGAGACTCCAACTCAAAAAAAAAAAAAATAACCAGGAGTTGCCAGGCATGGTGGCTCATACCTATAATCCCAGCACTTTGGGAGGCTGAGGCGGGAGGATTGCTTCAGCCTGGGAGTTCAAGACCAGCCTAGGTAACTTGTCTCTACAAAAAATAAAAAAAATTACCTGGGTGTAGGGGTGTGCACCTGTAGTCCCACCTTTTCAGGAGGCTGAGGGAGGATCACCTGAGCCCAGGGGTTCAAGGCTGCGGTGAGCTGTGATTGTGCCACTGCACTCCATTTGGGTAACAGTGAGACCTGTACACTCACACACATACACAGACAAAACCAAGAGTATAATTGGGAAACGGGAGAGCAGATGTTAAACAGGAAGAGATGAACAAGAGGCTAGTAATGATACAATTGTGGGGTCTCAAATAACTTGGAAATGAATATATGAGCTGGGTTGGTGGCTCAATCTAATCCTGCACCTTCGGGAGGCTGAGGGGAGTGGATTGCCTGAGCCCGTGGATTCAAGACCCACCTGGGCAACTTGGCGAGACCTCATTTCTACAATAAATAAAAAATTAGCTGGGCGTGGTAGCGCATGCCTGTAGTTCCAGTTACTTGGAAGGCTGAGGCGGAAGGTTAACCGGAGCCCAGCAGGTCGAGGCTGCGGTGGCCAGGAGCGGCCACTGCACTCCAGTCT